TTTAGGCTCATAGGTCTTTAGTCAAAAAAAACAAAAACAAACAAAAAACAATATTTTCTCAACACCACCTGTTCAACATGATTTGGTTGGGAATAACTGATTTAGACGTTGGTTTTTAGGCTAAATCTGGACGGTTCATCATAGTCTTTATTTTGTCCACAAATAGATGAACGGTCTGATTTTGTCCCAGTTTAGTCCAGTAATGGACACTGAGAGACGTTGCAAACCCAGTTTTCAATGGCTTTTCAATGACATGAAAATTAATGTTTTTCACTTTTCAACCAAATGTTGATGTCGTATGGATATTAATGATGTTGTCTTTTGAGTGTCTTTTCAACCAATTTTTGCTCGGTGGGGTAGGTCTGGCTATAAAGATGAAACCAATTACTCCTAATTATAAGCAAATATGAAATTCAAAGTCATCCCCTCTTAATATCATTTGTAGCTTGTGGAAGAAAGTAGTTTTAAATTCGTAGGGAAACGGCTGCTGCAACCGTTCCATTACCGAATTCTCCAGAGTGGTGCCCGACTTTACACGAGTGAATAAAGTGAATGTGATTGGTCGTTTATCAAGAGGGTGGGATTGTCGTGGCGGAAGGTTCGCAAACACGTTTGATTGTAGCCGGTTTCTCTGAATCATCTTGCTAACCAGTTAGCAACTTAGTGCTAGTAGGTTCCCAATGGGAAATTCTATTGGGACCAAGTAGCACTAAACTGGTGACTTAGAAACGACAGTCAATAAACGCTATGGACAGCGGAAACATGCAAGAGGAGGAGAGTTTTGTGTAGGAAGTCATGGAGGAGTCTCCTCCATCATACATTTTTTATTTATTTAGAAGAGGAAAGCGGGGACAAAGATGTTGTGGAAGAGGACGCCAGAAGCTTGGTTTGGTGTAGAAGGCTTACAGCCGTACATGTTTGAGCCCTTGCCTCGCAATGCTGCCAGTTCTGTTAGCTCTACGCCTGCCGAAGACACAGACGTCCATCCCCGTGAACACTGGGACAGAACTCACTAAGATAGGAAATTATTCTTATTTCAACCATTACGTATATCACGGCTCGATGTTAACCATCGCCCGATCTCCCGGGGCAAGTAGCTTTTGTTGTTGGTAGAGTACAAATTTCATTGCATTTGCTGGGCAAATGCAATGATCGCAAAGAAAATTATTTATTATTTAAAATTACTTTAAAATCACCGACATTCGATGATAACGACCTAGAAGCGTTGCCGGCGCCATTTTTGTTGTTTTGTACACATTCTCACGTGATTTCAAAAAGCCGCAAGATTTGAAAACGCTGCGTGATTTTCCCCCAGATGGCGTGATTTTTGTTGACCTAGCAGTAATTTTGATGTAATTACCAAAACGACAAACAGCTGCATTTATTTTGTCAAGGAAAACTAATCCTGAGTCAGTTGAAAGTCAGGGAATTCTAAAATGATGTAAGACTGTGGAAACCCTGTATAAAATAACGATGTATAATGATTCTCTAGAAAAGTCACATTATATTAATAGTATTATCTTGTATCAACATACCATCACTCTAAAATAAAAGTTATTCATTTGTGACATTGACTTATGTCTTGTGATTTATCTTAAGTTTTTAACCTGTCAAGTATTTTTTAGATTTTTAACATTACAATTTATATTTTCCCAAGCACACAACAGTTTAAAGCAAAGTTTAGTTTGAAAAGAATGTGCAGGAAGGATTGAAAAGCATGTTAACAAGGTAATGTAGGCTTGAGTTCATTATCTGACACATGCAGATACACACCAGGAAGTAAAAATTGTTTCTGGGCAAATGAAATGTGAAAGTCACTTGCCCAAAGGGCAAGTGGTAAAAATCCTTAACGTCAACCCCTATATATTATCTGTGACATATCAATCAAGAGGCTATGACCGAAAAAATTTGATTGACAGATGACCGTTGATACGTTATTGCCCGAATTTAGGTGTTCAGGCCGACGTATAACTAACTGGCCAGCATAAGATAATGGAAAAACCCCCCATTGATTTTAAGACAGGATTTTGTTTTTTAAATAAAAATTTTCTAATTTTGGGACCATATCATCTGATAAAGAGTACATTTATACACATGTTTAAGCCAGAATGATTTGACATTTAAATATGATTTCCCTACGACTTTAAGTACAACACTTAGGCATTTGTGTCTTAGTCAGTTCAATAGTTGTTCCACCAAACTCTGGCCAAAACCTTCAGCTGTGTGCACTTTAATCTTGTGTTTACCACACCATAAATTAGGTTTGTGGGACTCAGGACTATGTCTGGTCACAGTGGACACAAAAAGCAAAGAGCGTCTGTTCCCTCCCTGCTTTCCCCTCTCTGCTTCGCACAGCTAAATTGGTTCCAGATGCATTACCTCCTGGCTAGTCCCAAGAAACAGATCACACCATGAAATAAACTAAGAAGGAAAACACTGCGCACAGTTTGTTTGTCAACAACATTTCTGCAGACTTGAACACAAAATAGAAACATTATTAAGAGAATGAGTTTCTGGCAAGTTATTATGGCATTTATATCATAAAAAAGAAAAGTGTTTTTTTTTTGGAGGGATTTCTCACTGACAGAAGGCTCTTGAAGACAATGTGCAGCCCAAATGAGGATCTAAGAGTTTAGCCTCTTTCATGTTTGGAGCAGATGTGTTAGGGAGGGGAAAAAAATGGGCTGAACAAAGTGATATTTAATCAGAGGTAATCCACATCCTGCACCCATGTGCACTAAACTTCAAAGACCATCCTTAGCTGTACGTTAGACCAATTTATAACACTGTACAGCCCCTCTGAAAATAGACTCAGTGAGAGAGGCCTTGGGACAAAGCGGGCACAGCAAATAAAACTGTGGCAACAGCAAAAGGTCTCCTTAAGAGACCAAAGGAGAAACAGAAATGTGTCTGAAAACCAACAGCTCCATGCTGACTCTGCCAATTAACAAGTGAAAGCCAAATCAACACCAGTTGTTTTATTGCACTGGTGTGAGGCAAAGCTGTTTTCTTTTAACTGACCAAACATGTCCTAATGAATTCATTAGCACAATAGGAAGCCATTTCCTTTGTTTTCTGACAAAAAAACAAAAAAAAAATCTATATCTTTCTAAATATCTGGCCTTCATTTCATTTACCCTCACATAAGATGGTAAAAAAAACAAAAAACATGTTGAAGTTTAGAGAGTTTCAGCTGATATTTCAAAAGCAGAATTTCAAATCCATCCAAACTGAGAAGTTTGTTTTACAGAACCAAAAACAATGGAAAAAAACAACTTTCTGAAACAAAGAGTTCAAGGAATTAACAAATTATACATTTTATGTTCTACCAAAGACTGAAAAGGTCAGTGTAAAATTCATTATAACATTTCCACAGGGTGTCCTGTTATTTCAATGCCAAAAAAGTTGCATTAGTGACTATTATACCCTTTACCACAGGCCACGTTGAAATCAGAGAACTGTTTTTCTGAGGAGAACTGTTCAATAACATTAAAATAGTATCATAATATAATTATTTCCTTGTGGTTTTCGTAAAAGGATTTTGGAGCTAATAGAGTCACGTGTGACATAAACACAGTGATTGAGGTTCATGCCAGCTGACTCAATCTACGTTGTCATAGTGTTGTTGTGAAGTTTAATTAATAGCGCATATATTCACCTGAGAACTGATGATGTTACAGACCCTGGCTGCGTGCACGGAAGTGTATATGACAATAAAGTACTGAATGTCAAATCTATTTACTTATATTTATTTATTGCATGTTAAATAGGCCTATAGCATCATAGGTCTTTTGTCAAAAAAAAGACTCAATTGTATTAAAGATAATAAAAAAATGATTGTTTGATGACTGAGTGTTAGATATTTAAATTTTTTTTTATCTCATTTTCAAAATTAGCAGATAACTCTATGTTTCTTTAACTTATATAATTTGATTAGTTACTCAGTATTTGAATAAGTTTGCTTCATGAGGGGAGTGGCGGCCTAGTGGTTAGGGCATAGAGATTACAATCCTGAGGTTCAGAGTTCAAGTTCGAGCCCCAGTGCTGCATTTGATACATTTGATAAAAGTAACAGTACTAGACTAGTTTAAATCATATCTATCTGGCAGATTTTGTGGGGAGTGGCGGCCTAGTGGTTAGGGGCTTGGAACACTGAGGTTGTGAGCACGAGCCCCACTCCCACAGACTCTGGCTCTCTGAGAAACACCCTTAATCCCAGATTATTGGCGCCCCACGATGGCAGACCACTGCTCCCCAAGGGATGGGTTAAATGCAGAGGCACATTTCTCCAATGTGAGATCAATAAAGTTCAATTATTATTATGGGAGTGATTAGAATAGAGCTGGAATCCTGAGGTTGTGAGTTCGAAACCCACTCACATAGAGCAAGACCCTTAATCCCACACTGCTCCCTGGGGGGCACACAATGGCAGCCCACTGCTCCCCAGGGGATGTGTTAAATGCTGAGGGTTTATATCTACTTGTGACAGTGTAATGACAATATATTAAAAAAAAGCTGGAGGAGCCATTTTCCCCATTTATTTTAACTTTACTTGAGAAAAAATACGATGTAGTTCTAATCTTTAAATTTTTGAGTACTCTTGGATGAATGCTGACTTTTCCTAATCCCATCCCGCTGACATCTTTGCCTTCATGGAGTCCCAGATTCTTTAGATAATGGACTGTATTACCAAGGAAAGATGATCAAAGTATGAACTTTAAAAGGCGTCACACGGAGGCACCGTGTCAGAATCTGTGAATCAGATGCCAACTTCAGCGTTTTTACATTTGAAGGAAACAAAACAAGAAACTCTGAATCCCAGTAAATGCGCAGGGTGGACGTCTTTCCGCTTTTCCCCGAAGACAAACCATAGAAAACATCACTGTACCATCTAACCAGTCCGAAGCTCAGCAAAGCTAGTTTTTTTTTCTTCCAGGGAAAAGCGGATCGGTTTGGATGCAGTTTGGAAAGTTTGAGAGCAAAGTCAGGGACAGACTCACCCTGAGCTCGCAGCTGCTGGCAGTAAATGTTGATGGCCAGAAGGAAGCTCGTTATCGGGAAACAGGCACGCATCTTATTGAAATCCCAAAGTGCATCGTGAAGAAGAAAAGTCAGGAAAAAGTGCGGTGCTGTGGAATGCCACTTCCATGGATCCCCGTTAACTCTCCATTTCCACTGCCGCATATGCGAGCAGGGAGCGAACAGAGCATGCGCGCTCCACAGCAGGATCCTGCTTCCAAAGGTTCAGACTACTGGATCCACAGAAAGTTTTAGTGTTTCTGCTTTGCTCTATGGAAGAGGATTAGGGCGACTAAAAAGAAAAAAGAAGATTTTTGAATATTTTTTCAGTTTAATAAGGGAAAAAAGTCAGAATTCTGACTCTAATCTCAGAATTCTGACTTAGAAATTCAGCCTTTGTTTCTCAGAACCTGACTCTGATCGCAGAATTCAGACTTTTTTCTCAGAATTCTGACCTTAATCTCAGAATTCTGATTTTATTTCTCAGGAGTCTGACTTTAATCTTAGAAATTCAGCCTTTTGTTTCCCCCTCAGAACCTGACCTTAATCTCAGAATTCAGATTTTATTTCTCAGAATGCTAACTCTAATCTCAGAATTCAGAATGTTTTCTCAGAATGCTGACTTTAATCTTAGAATTCAGATTTTATTTCTCAGAATGCTGACTCTAATCTCAGAATTCAGACTTTTTTCTCAGGAGTCTGACTCTAATCTCAGAATTCAGACTTTTTTCTCAGAATTCTGACTTTAATCTTAGAAATTCAGCCTTTTTTTTCCTCAGAACCTGACTCTAATCTCAGAATTCAGACTTTATTTCCCAGAATGCCGACTTTAATCTCAGAATTCAGACTTTATTTCTCAGAATGCCGACTTTAATCTCAGAATTCAGACTTTATTTCTCAGAATGCCGACTTTAATCTCAGAATTCAGATTTTATTTCTCAGAATTCTGAGTTTAATTTCAGAATTCAGACCTTTTTCTCAGAATGCTGACTTTAACTTGACTTAAATGGCACCAAAGATGTGAGTTGTTTGGGAGGGCCAGTAACACACTGGTGGAAAATGACGGAATTAGATATCTTTTTTTACATGTTCGGAGGGTCCCCAGTGATGCTTTTTCATTAATGGAAGAGAAGAAGGTGATTAAAACAAGAGAGCTACTTCAGTCTCTAAAACAGACATGGCTACAGCTTGATACTAACATGTTCTATTCTTCTATCAGAATTAAATCCTAAATTGTCAGTATTTTTACCCAATCTATATTTGTATTAGGGCAAACCAATACAAATTAGTCACATTCGCCAAAATACTTAAGTATTATCGCAACTTTCAAAAGTCTAAGGTGGGTTTCAAACCAACAACCTCAGGAATGGAAGTTAATGTCTTACAGATGGCACCACTAGCAATGCTAACTGCTAACTTAAAAGCAATACTACTTAACACTGATGTTACAGCTGTAGTCAGTGGCTTACTCAGATTTTGATTATTACATTGTTTAATCTAACCACACTAGTTTCAACCAACTAGATTGGGGGTTTTACCAAACAATCTGTTCTTAGAATCTATCCAAACTCTATCCAACTGACAGTTACTCTTCTGCAAACTCCCACATCTTGACTGAGTAGTGAGGGTGTTTAAATGGCTATCGAAGATGAACCTCTATCGGTCGGAACCTCCTCCTTAAGCGGTCACATGGTATCGCTGTAGAGAGGCTTCGGAAATGATCAGTTTTGGCCCATGCCCTAAATGAATCACACCTCGACACATGCTTTGGGAAAAAGCCCCCTTCATTACTCAAGACACGCCTCGAAGCCATGGCTCATCTCATAACACTACTCATAACTAGGGATGGGGATCGTTAATATTTATTGATATCGATACCTTTATCGATACTCCTTATCGATCCGAGTGTTTATCGATACCACTATCGATACTTTTCTGTTATTTGGTGGAAAGACGATGCAACAAATTTTTTTTTTAACAGAACTGGTATTGCTTTTATTGCTTAACAAGTGAGCATAACAAAAACGTTTCTAGCCTTCAATAAACATGGCTAATGTAATAGGCCACTTCAAAATGACATAAAACTAACTAGAATATATTTTCACATTTGTTGGTTAATGTATTGTCAACTGTCACTTTTCATCATGTTTTTAGTGATTAGGAAAATATTTAGCAAATAAATAATTGTATTTTAAATTAAATGTAATTTTTAATAAATGTTGGCATCAGTAGTTTAATTATATATTCTAAAATAGTTAGAGCAATATACAACTGTATTACCCATGTTTCTCGCAAAAAACTGAATTTCCCGTTTTCTTTACGTTACACTTGAATGCATCATGATAACCTAATTGTCGTTTTACTGAGCCAATCTGAACACATCATCCCGCAGCATGTCTGAAACTATTTACTTTTCAAGCTAACTAGCTTGTATGCTTCCGATTACAAGACGGATTTCACAATTACTATTTTTTAACTGACCGGACAAGCTACAAAGTCTATGTGCGCGCTTACCAGTGGTACTCTGAGTGGATGATGAAGATGGGCCCGACTGTGGTGCGGCGGCAGCAGCCGGAGGAGTCTTTTCCGTTCAGCCATTCTCAAGTCCCGAGCAAAGTTAAGTGCCAGACTTCACTTGTTTTACTTTTAATATCTGTTTGTTTACAATTTCATTCCAAAACATTGGTGGACATGCTGCAGTGATTGGATTGATTAGATTTAAATGCTGTGACGCGACTCGAGGGACACAAAATTATGTTACAGGACCTCCGGGAGAAAAAAACAACAAAAACGACCAGACTCGATAGTGGTATCGATAAGCCCAAATGTTATTGATTTTCGGGTTTTGAAAAAAGTGGAACCGGGTCCTTGATGGAATCGGGTTTCGATCCCCATCCCTACTCATAACCCTGTCCTCTCTGACCACTTTTTAATAACCTTCAGGATTACATAGTTCTCCTCCCCCAAAAGAAGGTTTCACATGTTGTACCATATGCCATGATCATCATACTTTTTGGAACCAGTGTCCATATTTCATCTTTACAGGATGACAGGAGGAGAACACGCAGCTTTGGTAAATAACAGCTGGGGGACTTCTGCAGACCCCCCCTCCTTTCAGCCAAAGCAGTCAAAGCCATGTCACATGGAAGCCACCAGAGGTGTGAAAAACCAAACCCCTCTCTGTGAGGACAGAACAAAACCACAGAGCGGACAGGATCCTCTCTCGTTTGCCTCCTCCTCTTTGACTCTTGTGCTCCTTGCCTCCTCTTCCTTGCCCAGGAGGAGATCCGCCTTGGCTGGATCTCCACCACAGTGGAGATGCGGGCCCCAGGGGAACCAGATCTCCAGAACCATCAAGAATGGGCCATTGTGGTAACCTTTCAGAACCAAACTGCTGCAAACAGATCTTTGGCAACAAATTTTTCTTGAGTTTCAGAACTTATAGAGCCAGACTGGAGAGAAGGCTTACCCTGTGTTGATAGATTACTGAGACAAAGAGGACCCCTGCTGTGTGCCACTGAGACATAAAAAACCCTGGTTGTTGCTGCCCTGACTGCTGAGCTGCAGTTGGATGAAACTCAAGCCCTCCAAAGGACTGGAAAATGGTTTTGCAGGTCTGGCATGATTAGGGACAGAAGATACAACATGTGTTTATGATGAGTAAAGACAACGCTAACAGAATAGACTGCATGCTACGCTATGTTACAGGAATATGTTGTGAGCTGTTGCTGAAGCTTGGACAACCTTTATTTCACTAAGAATTTAAACACTGATTTAACATTAGTGTTCATGTGTTCCTCAGATGTTCATTACATTTCCATTATCAAGTATGACCAAGAGTCATTTAGTGGAATCCTCATGTCTATTCGCTTCTAGCTATTTCAAAGAGGGTAAAGAACGGTTTTTTGTTCTTGATTAAGCAAACCATTGAATAAAACATAATTTGGCCAAATAATGTTTTCTTCACCTCATGGATTTGCATTGTGAATTGGTCTGAAAACATTCCAATTTCTTTAAAATTAGCGAAAATGAGGCTTCCGGGAGGATGGCGGACAGTGAAGACGCATAGCAAGTAGCTATCTAATGTCGGTGAACTAGAACTCCACAAAAATCGAGAAGTCGATATAGAACGACTTATATCAACAATATGAGTGAACCGGGAATGCGAAAAAGCCAAAGAAAACCAAAAGGCCTGACTGAGGTTGCTGGAAATGAAGAGAGCGCTCATGAGGGACAGGAGGAAGAAATGGGCAAAGAAGATCCAGACCATGCTAAGCTAATGCTCGAGGGGCTAGCAAAGCTTAGCAAAGAAATTCAAGACCTCCGGACCACAATGCGTAGCGATCTAATTTCGTTTGAAACCGAGCTTAGAGATGATATAACGTCACTACGTCAAGATATGGAGTCCAGATTCAAAAAAGTAACAAAGAGATGGAAGAGCAAAAACTGAACTAGCTGAGGCCCAAGCTCACATTGCGGAACTCAAGGAATTGAACACTGAGGCTAACGGCTGGCTCCTGAAGATGCTAACTCATACTCGAAATTTGCAAGACAAGGGCCGTTTCTTAATTCACGAGAACGCGAGTACGTACTCGCCTTCTCGTCAAGTCCGTTCTTGGCGACAACGCAGGAAGATCGGACTTGTCGAGAACGCAAGCACGTATGTGTATTGGAACAGAAGCGTACTTGTGACGTCATCACATGCAACGTTCTTTAGCATTTCTTTAACAGTCAAAACTATTTATTCCCTACACAAAACATTTTCAAAACAATATTTTTAATTTCTAAAGCTTAAAAAACATTTAAAAAAATTGGACGTTTGGCCGAATTAAACCAAAAAAACCGCCATCAAAACGAGCGGTAGTTCACACATAACTAGACCGAGAGAAATTCACTACAGACGAGGTAACATTAGCGCTGGCTGCAGTTACCCTCGGAGGTCTGCTGGTCACTCTGGTCCGCTCAACGTCAGACTTTTTTTTAAAATTTCGCACTAACTCTGTAAACAGGCCACACAGGGAGGCTTAAATGTATAATGTTATCGCCTCAAACGATTTCAAAACGTACGTTTGAAGAACAGCAGCAGCAGAAACGGGAATGTTTAACTTACCACTGTGAGCGCTGTCTCGAATCAAGCTGCGGCCGCGCGGCATTCTGGGGAAGCGGTCAGTCTGAAGAACGCA